GAGACCTTGAATCCTAAGAGACACGTTATAACACTGGGTTTGGCTGGATATGAACTGTAACATTCCCTGTCCTTGCACCCTAACCTGTCTAAATGAGACAATCCCATCGTGGTTTCTTTACATCACTTCACTAATGCCTGTGCAGGCCCCAGCCTGTCCATGGGTACAACCTGCTACTTGACTTAGAAAGTATGTGGAGGGTTTGTCTTCTGAGAAGGCAAAATTATCTTCTGAAAAAGCGTCCTACATAGTTGGCTGTCAAGAAAAAAAGGGGGAAAAATTGTGGCCACAAGTGTAGGTTTCCAAATGAGGCCAAGAGAGTATAACCAGAAAATTCATAGTTGGGTGTAGTCACCTCTAGTCCTCAGCTGTTAGCTCAGCCTGGGCTTCCTGACACAGTAAATTCCTTAGGAAAAACACCCAGTTCCCCAAAGGTGCGTTTGCTGTCTGCCTGTCCCCACTCCCATTTCCTCCCTCTTTGATGTGTGCCCAAAGAACCTCCAGACTATATAATCAGACTGCAAACTGGAGGTGTAAACTTCTTTCGTTAAGTTCTGGAACTTTTATTTTTAAAATACAGTGCATTTTAGGGCTGGAGCAATGACTCAGCAGGTAAGAACACTGGCTGTTCTTCAGAGGATTCAGGTTCAAATCTCAATACCCACAGGGTGGCTCAAAAGGATCTGCAACCAGCTTGAGGATCCAGTGCCCTTCTGGCCTCCAAGGATAAGCATAACCTAGAGCTGAAGCACTCAACTAAATTCAGAAAATCCCACATTGGTGCTTGATGGTTTGGGGTGGACCATGCAGCAAGCCTGGTGTGGGGCTGGTGGAACATACTGAAGGCTCTCCAGGTTCTGATTTCACACACAATCTGGATTCCCTAATTCAAGGATTCTCAATCCTAGCAGATTATCAGATCCAATTCTTTTTTTTTTTTTTTTCTCCTTTCTTTTTTTGGCTTTTCAAGACAGGGTTTCTCTGTAGCTTTGAGCCTGTCCTGGAACTTACTCTGTAGACCAGGCTGTCTTTTTTTTCTTTTCTGAGACAGGATTTCTGTGTGTTAACAGCCTAAACTGTCCTGGAACTCACTCTGTAGACCACACTGGTATCAAACTCGCCGCCGCCACCACCACCCGGCTCAAATCCAACTCTTTTAACAGCAACATTTTACTATCACATGAAACTCATAGCTAACATGACTTATACAAATCTTACTGTAATATAAAAGAAAGTGTTTTGGTATTTACCTGTGTTTAAATATGTACACTAGGAGCTAACAAGCCACATGCCTAAAACCTGTACATAGAATTACTGTGATGGCTACATAGACAAATGTTACAGATCCTACTGAATAGTTGTCACTGATTAAGGTTCTGAAATGAACCTGAAGCTTACTGATTTGTCAAGCCTGGCTAGTCAGTGAGCCCAAATACTCCCTGTGTCTACCTCCCTAGTGCTGGGATTATAGACATATACCACAGCTGGCTTTTTACATGAAGTGGAGACACTTGTTCATTTCAAAACTTAATCATAACCATGCACAACACCATGTACAACTCTCTTTATTGAATTAAGGCTCTTGGCTAGCCAGGCACACTGACATACACCTGTGATGAATTCTTGGACATATAATCAATTAAAAGCTAGCCTGGGCTACATGAGACCATCTCAAGATCAAAAGTGGGGTTTGGGGAGAGGCCCGTGGCCCTGTCTCCTGCAATGTATGTCAATTTCTAAAATGCAGAGTAGTCTGCACTACTAGCTATTTGCAATGTTCTATTATGTTCGTTAAATAACCATGCTCTGGTAGACTGTAGGCTCTTTAGAAACTATAATTTGTAAAGGGAATGTGTTGAGGATCAAGGATGCGTTTACTAATTAACTAAAACTGGGGAGTCAGATATCAGGGTAAGAATCTGAATGATCAGAGAAATGGAAGCAAAGCAACCTGTGACACACACACACCCAATGTTCCTCCACCCAAAAGAGCCGAGACCTTCTCTAAGCTCTGCCCTACTATCTGTCCTCAAAACCTCTAGTTTATTTTGGTCAGTTAGTAGCTAGTGCCACCCTGATTCGAAGCAAATTTTGGCAGTCTTGGGAACATCAGTATCAAAGTATCACACAACAGATTATAGTTTAGTGATAAGGGTACTTGCTAGGTACAATCCCCAGCATTGTTCAAGTTACAGATCCTTGTCAAAAGAATCAGAGGAGTTCCACAGAAATTTAAATGAACAAACGAGGAAACAGAATGGCACAAGCTGACTCAAATGAGAAAAAATAAAGGCTTTACCATGTGGACAGGGTAAGATCTAGCTTTTAGATATCATTGCAGTAAGGAATACTCTAGCCTAAAATTATGTATATTCAGCCTGCATGTATGACTGTGGCCAGAAGAGGGAAGCAGATCTCACTATAGATGTTTTTGAGTCACCATGTGATTCCTGGGACTTGAACTCAGGACCTCTGGAAGAGCAGTCAGTGCTCTTAACCTCTGAGCCATCTCTCCAGTCCAAAATAGTAGTCTAGCTTTACCTGCTCTCCCTTATACTTCATGTGGTATATTATAACCTTAGGTCCCTGTCTTCAGGCATGACCTTCACTATGGTAAGATAACTATTTCTATGGTATACCTTAGTGACCATTCTGCCAATGCCTCTGGCCCCTCCCTCACTCCTGTGGAAGGATAGTCTTTTACAGCAAGTTAACTGTCTTAGTATATTTGCAGAGACTAAAGTATTTATTTCCACTTCATATTTCCATGTCTTTTAACTTTTTAAAAATGTAGAACTCCAGGTGGTGGTGGCAACCCACCTTTAAAATCCCAGCACTCAGGAAAAAGAGGCAGGCATTGCTCTATGGAATTAGAACATTTTTGTTAAAAACTACCCTTATATAGCCTACTTTGTACCCTCAAATGAGTTATACAAATGAGTTAAAGTGACTTAAAAGTGGAAAAATGAAAGATGGGCTGGCCAGATTGCCCATCAAGTAAAAATGCTCTCCCTATGCAATCCTGATGACTTAATTCTAGGAACTCATGTACAAGTGGAAGAACAAGACTACAAAATTGTCCTGACTTCCACGTGCATATGCACCTCATCATACACATGCCACTTTAACACATTCTTACCAGGGGTGACATACACCATCACTGTTAATGTTTATGCTCCTAGACTTGATTTTTTCTGTAAACCAAGAGAACCTATGTCTATCATTTATAAGCTATCAAGTTTCCCTCCCAACTTGTATCTTAATATGCAGTATGCACCTGGTTACTGAAGCAGCTGGGCATACACTATCTCCTTTACTCCCAGTTTTTACAAGTATAGACAATTTTGCTTTTTTAAGTCCAAAGTACTCTGAACATAAGCGCTTTCATCTTTTGGATAGTTGAGACTTCACTTATGCAACACAGTAAGCCATTGCCTTCTGCCTGCAGGAAGCTTATTGAACTAGAGGAAAAAGGTACTTGCGACACTTCCTGGATGGGCAAAGTGCTGCAGTGGTTGAGACAGTGATGGGGCCAGAGCTCTGGGTCCTGCCCCTGCAGGAGGACATCTCCAGCATGGATGGCTTAAAGATACCAGAGGTCTACAGCTCTTGGACTAGTACCAACAGGAAAGTACATGTACTTTAATTTGGCCAGTTCTGACAGCCTTTTACAAACTATGCTGCAAACTAAACATTATCTATAGATTTATAAATTAATAAATTTATAGTATGATGGCATAAACCATCTACACCCGAAACTTTTAAAAGGTGAGGCCTGGTTCAGACCCCGACATTAGGTGCTAAGAGACATGTACCAATGGAAGCTCTGTGCCAACTTCAAGTTGAGAGCTCTAACTTCTGCATGCACCCCACAGATATAATGGGTAGCAGCGCCAATTCCCCTTTCAGAAGTATGCCAACAAGCTGAATAGCTCAGTTCTTCACATTAGTCATAGCTTCAGTTTTGCTACTGAGTACCTTTTGTCTGGTCACCACCATTCCATAAAACCAAGACCATACTCAAAACTTCATACTTAGCACAGGTTGTATTCTGTAACAGCTTTTACCTTCCACACTAAACTGAAATGTGTAGTGCTATTTTTTTTAAAGCCTTGAAATTGAAACAGCATTTATTCTGACTGAATTTTCAGCCTTTGATCCCTTTTTTAAAATGACAAACTCCCGGGTGTACACTGAGTAAAAGCAGCTGGAACCATTGCCACTAAAGCTAAAGGAGTATCATACTTGCAGGTAATTATGCTCCCTAGATACCAGAGTTGAGACTGGAGCCCAAAGTCCTCTTCCCCAAAGTTTTCCATGCCAGTCTGTCCAGTTAGCACCACTCCCAACTCAGTAATCAAGTTCCATCCCTTTTTGTTTTTCTATCTCAGTCTTAAACTCTTCCTTCCCACCCTATTTTCTTGGCCCTGCTCTAAGCCTCCTAGTAGCCCAGGCCCGAGCTACCTAGCCATTGTAGCAAACTTTAAAAAAAGACCAGGAAACTGTTGGCAATAATCTAGCCTGCAGAACTTCAGATTTTCAGAAAATTAACCCAACCTGATTTCTAGTCTTTGTGATTTTTTTTGAGATAGGCTATTTCTATTATGTGGTTATCATGAACTCTACAGAGTAGGCTGGCCTTGAACCCAAAAGACCCACCTGCCTCCAGAATGCTGGGATTAAGGAATGTGCTGCCACGCTCATGTAAGATTTTTCTTTGTGATACATTTTGGGCTGAAAGTAATGATGTTATCAATTCTTTCAATAGCAAGACCCATATAGCATACATAGGGACATATGAATTTACAACTGCTGGGATCCAATCCCCTTGCATGTACACACACACACACACACATTTTGAGATTATGAGGTTGGACTACTTATGTCTACCACTGTGAATATAGGGAGTCCATACCTCACCTCTTCCTAGGACCTGTTAGGCAGGTTCCAGCATACTGACAAGGATGTACAGAAATGGAACTGAAGAACCTACACTCAGACCACTTGGAAAATGTTAGCATTTAATTAACCTCCCGGGGTGGCTTCAAGCCACCAGGACACAGGCGCCTCCAACACCCTTTATCTTCTCTTCAGCTCTTCTGCTGAAAAATTTGGCTTTCACGATGACAGGCTGCTTAGGGAGCTTTCCCTTCCCCAGAACTTTGTAGTAGCCCTAGACGAAGACAAAAAGATTCTTAATACACTACAATGGCCTCATAGAGATCCACCAACACATTTCCATAATGCGTGGCCCTTGGTAGGACATGTTTCTGATCTGGGCACTAACAGGGACACTGAAGACCCCTACCAGTGAATCAAGACCAGCAGATTCTCTTCGAGAACTCTAGCACACCAGGACAAGCACCATGTCAGGATGTGACTCTAGTCTCGGCTAAATACCTCCCCAATCCCTACCAGTTACCTCTACTAACTGTAGATCACTAAATAGGCTGGGAATGGAATTAGTTACCAGCCTATGATCTGGGTCTCTGCACTTAAGCAATAATGGGGGGCGGGCACTTTCTTTTTATATACAATATAGGGCCTTGAATTAACACTGGGACTTAGTTAAACTGCAAGGGCCAAGCTGTGCCTTAAGACCATTCTGAACCAACTATACAGCTCAAGTTAAATTAAAAAGGAAACCTGGTAGGATCAGCATAACTGTACTGAAACTTATTTACTGAAAGCAATACTCTAATATTCTTGTTAGAAATGAAAGCAAATACTTGATGGGTGTGTTCTCTGAATTCACAATTCACATGTGGGGATCAAAGGGAAGGGGAAGAGTTCTATTTGGGACCAATTCAATTCCTTGCAACAGTTCTACTAAAATGTGGATTCTCTAATCGGTAATGGCCAAATATATATATAAGTTTGACTCCAGAGGAGACAAGGTGGATTAAAATTCACTCACTGATCGCACAACATCAATGATGGGAGCAGCTCCAGTCTTGTTCTTTGCAGCATTGACGCGTGTCTGCTCACTGACCAGTGTCCACAATTTATCCAGGTTGACAGTCGGACAGAAGCTCTGGTTCCTCTTTAAGTGGTAATGTCTCATACCAACTTTCCCAAAGTAACCTGGATGACTGGGAAGGGAAAGCAACCACCTTCAGAGCCTCACTCCAAGCAAGCTGATCTTAGTAGTTATCTCTTCCTACTCCAGTGTAAATTTTCCCTGTTGTAAACTTTGACATAGCAGACACCTGATAAAACTTTTAGCTAAATCGTAAGTCTCTGAAGAAGTCATATCATTCACTAGCATCCCCTTAAGAGGTTACCTAAAGGGCATCCTCTAATGGCTGGATAAAAGCCAACCCAACCTTGAATCTGATGCATGTCACTAACCTGGTGACTGACTGTGCCAGAAAGTCCACAGCCAGTGAATAAGGTCAGCAGTTATTCTTCGAGGGCTCTAGCACACTAAGGCAACAACCAATACCTGAGCGTGACTCTAGCCTCGGATAGACTCATTTCAAATCAAGCATTTACTTGCTAAAGCTGGCAACAACCAACGTCATGAAACGGACTTCTGCAGGGAAGCTGTTCCAGGTTACCCCTTCTGCCCCTACCTCCAAAGCCGCTGCTGCCAGTTAAAACCCACCTCCAAGAAACACTCACTATTTGTCGAAGTTGATCCTGTGGTGATGCATGCCTCCAGCATTACCGCGGCCTCCTGGGTGCTTGCGGTGTTTACCTGCAGGCATGCAAAGCTACATGGCTATCAGCCGTCTCTAGGTGGTCACGTGCCCCCGCCTTTTTTGTTCTCAGTCTACAACCCATTTTTAAGCATGATTGTCCAAGTCTCAAGGATAAAAGAAACCTTTTTGGCATTCCACCATCACAGTACTCTGTGTTTATGTTTCACTCCACTACCAACATAAAATTATCTTAAGCTGGATTAGAGGGTCTTCAAATAGGGAAGCTGCTGTTCAATCTGACTGGCAACAAATGTCTTCCTCGACTCACTGCTGTTTATTTCCCAAATACCCAAAAAACAGCGCAAACAAAGGCCTACCATGAGAGGAGGCCCACACTTACCGATGCGGCCGTGGCCGTGGCTCACGTGGCCCCGGAGTTTCCGGGTCTTCCTCAGTCTGGATGGCTGCATGGGAAAAACAGTGCAGTTGTTAGGCCTATGGAAAGGGGAGTCAGGGATGAGCAACGCCTGCTGCCTTTATTGTGCCTGCAATCAAGGACTTGCCTTCTGGAGCATTCAGCAAGGTTGAGGTTACCGACTGGGACGGCGCCCGGACGCCCAGGCCCGCGTGCCTCAGCGATCCGAACCCCGGCTGGAACACGCGGCCCCAAGATCCTCGCCCCAGACCCACGCGTGCCATCCCGCCCCGCAGGCTACGCGCTGCTACGAAGACGCGCTAAGATCGGGGCAAGCAGCTGAGAGGTAGGGAGGTAGAGCTCCGAACCGCCGCGAGGAAGCGGAGGCCAAGAAAGGAAGACCTACCATGGCGGCAGCAGAACGGAAAGAGGGAGACACCCGCGAAGTCTCGCGAGGTAGCAGGCGTGGGGGCGGGACCAATGCCTCATTTCCGGCCAGGAGGCTGGTCTCGGGCGGGGCTTGACGTCACCGGCTTCCGGCGCCCGTCCCGTATGGGAGGGCGGGGTGGCATGGTGGCTCCGGTCACCCCGAGCTACCAGAGCGAGCGGCGCCATAGGGCCGGCGTGTTCAAATTACCTTGTTCTGTTCGGGTTTTGTTGGTTGTTGACGCCTGGCCGCTGTGAAACATAAACACCACATTTAAGTTTTCTTCAGAACCTGGCCGCTACACTCTTAGTCACTTGAACCCGAGGTTCCCAGCTCAGTGTGCTCCTGATGCATGCAGTTCCGGTGTGGGTCTTCTTGGACCTGTTTTGTTGGTTGCTTCCTTGAACCACCACACACAATCTTGCATGTAATTCTCTCTCTCTCTTTTTTTTTTTTTTCTTTTCGAGACAGGGTTCCTCTGTGTTGCTTTGGAGCCCTGTCCTGGAACTCACGCTGTAGTTCAGGCTGGCCTCGAACTCACAGAGATCCGCCTGCCTCTGCCTCCCGAGTGCTGGGATTAAAGGCATGTGCCACCACTGCCCGGCGCATGTAACTCTCTTACTTACCAAGTTACATTTGTCTTCCCAGTTGAACCCAAATCCTTTAAGGGTTCAAGGACTGGCCGTTTTTGTTTGTTTTTCCTCTTTAAATACATGAGTTCCTAGCGTGTAGTATGTTTACTAAGAGTTCAAAAGTGCCCTCAAATGCCCTGAGTGTACCCAAGATCCTATCCCTTAAGTCCGTTAATTTTTTTTAATTTTTTATTTATTTTTTTTTTTGTCTTGATCTGTTAAAGAATATTCTATCCGGGCGGTGGTGGCGCACGCCTTTAAGCCCAGCACTCGGGAGGCAGAAGTAGGCGGATCTCTGTGAGTTCGAGGCCAGCCTGGGCTACAGAGAGTTCCAGGACAGGGACCAAAACTACACAGAGAAATCCTGTCTCGAAAAACCAAGAAAAAAAAAAAAGATTCCCTATTAGGACCCTTTCCTTTTCCTTTTTTAAAACATGCTCCTCAAAAGCAGAGCATGCAGTGGAAATCTTGTCCATTTGCTAACTTCTTCTTCTTCAGTGTTATTGTTGTTGGTTTGTTTGGGGTGTGTGTGTGTGTGTGTGTGTGTGTGTGTGTGTGTGTGTGTGTGTGTGTGCGCGCACGCACCTTTTGTTTGTTTTTTGAGACAGGGTTTCACTGTGTAGCCCTGACTGTCCTGGAATTCACTTTGTAGACAGGCTGGTCTCGAGCTCAGAGAGATCCACCTGCCTCTGCCTCCCGAGTGCTGGGATTAAAGGCATGTGCCCCCCATCACCTGGGTCTTGTCCACTGTTTAATACATTACAATCTGGGCAATTTGGCTTTAGCTACACCATTTCCTCAAGATTATTTTTTATTTGCTTGTTTTGAGACAGGGTCTTACTGTGTAGCCAAGGCTGGCCTGCTTGGGCCTCCTGGCTTCTGGAATTACACTCTTAAAAGGCTCCTGTTTAGGCAGGCATATTGGTGAGACTTTATGGGTACACGTGGTATTCTTGGGAAACACTCATAGCAAAGCCTCGGCTCTCTGGCTCTTAACAACCTTTCTGTCCCTCTTCTGCAGTGGTCCCTGAGCTGTAGGTATAGGAGTTGTTTTACAGATGTATCCAGAGGAACTGGACTCCACAACTCTACATTTTGATTGGTTTTGATCAGTCTCTCTTTGCCTGTTGCAAAGAAATGTTTCCTTGAGGAGGGCTGAGGACTATTCCTATCTGTGAGTATAAAGACAAGTATTTAAAACTGCCCATGTCTTCACTAGCCCTAGGTAGCTAGCTTTCCAGTACCAGTCATGATTTCTCTAAACTTAAACTTTGGATCTTCCAGTCTCAACTTCCCATGTTCTGAGATTTATGCATGTACTCTTAAGATTCTGCTATCTCCAATAGCACTCCAGGCACAATGGTATTAGCTCCAACATCTTCAGAGTACTTTGAAATTTACAAAATGTATTGGCCTGAGGATTCAGGACTGTTAGCTTCATTGTATGCATGAGACAAAAGACACAGACGAATTATATGACTTGTCAAAGGTTATATAGTTGATAAGAGATAGAGCCCGGGCCTAGACTTAACCTTTCTCTCTCCAGATCCCCTGTTTTTACCTCAGTGACCACTGCCTTTCTGACCTCACAACATTATGATCATCTCTCCCTCGTCTCACAGGCATTAATCATATACTGCCTGTAACCAGCAGAAAGAGGGGTTTGAGAGCAGGCATCAAGATCTAAGAAGAGACCTTTCACTGTCTGATAAGTGTGCAAGTGAAGAGCCAAATTACTTAGAAATTACCACTGGGAAAATGACCTGTCAATGGAGGTAAGCTGGGAAGAGCCTTGGGAATGGAAAGTAACATCAAGTGAACTTTAATGGGCCCTGGATCAAGGCTCAAGTCAGGGCAAAGGGCAGAGATAGAATCCTGTTTCTGAATAGTTTGCCAAGTTCTTTGGTTATAGAGAAGCTACATCCTCTCCTAGGAACACCTGGCTGAACAGAACCCCCCCTGAGTGAGTCTAGGACTCACTGTTGGCTTCTGTACTCTCCCAATAATCTTAGTGATAGTTTGCTCTCTAGAGGGAGTATTTTGGGAATTTGTCCAGCTGTGGTTTTTCTAGACAGATCCCTTTCTTCCTCACAGGGTGACTGGCTGATTCATGGCTCCTGTGCTTGTTCAGCAAAGTCAGCTTCAGGTTTACCAGCCGTGACAAACGGAAAAGGCTCAGTTCTGTATCTGCAAAGTTGAATAGCAGCCAGATGTTAAGATATTAGGTCACCTCTCGCTCCCCACCAGGAAGATGAGACATGACCTTGAATGTGACCCATGAGAATTGCCTTTTGTGACAATTCTATGAAGTACAGCACAGCCTTGTGACATCGCAGGCATTTGAGCTACTTGAGAGGGTCAGGGCTCAGAAAATACTTGTGAAATGAAGCGAAGGGAGATGACGCCAGGCAGCAGTCCTCTGGTGAGCCAGGTAAATCTCAGACCTCTCTCCACGTGGCCTTGGGAACACACTGTCATCTGAAAGAGTGCCCCGGTAGCCTCCTTCTCTTTGTCACCTCTCTGGGTTCCTGATTTTCCTTTGTATTTCAGACAACAGCTATTCTTCTTCGAAGTATGGACACTTCAGACCTGTTGTCTCTGCGGTCGTCATCATCTTTTGTTAGATCTGTTTTTATTTATGTGTATGTATGATTGTCTGTGTGAGCAGATGACGTGTGCAGGTATCTGCTGAGGCCAAATGGAGACACTGGATTTCCCTGGAACTGGAGTTCCAGGTGGTTGTGAGCACCCCAGTGAGGGCACTGGCAACTGAACCCTGGTCCTCTGGAAGAGCAGCCCATTCTCTTAAGTACTGAGGCATCTCTACAGCCCCAAGCCTTGTCTTTTTTCATCTTTAATTGGACATTTGGAAAGAATATGTTGTCATTTTAAAAAGAGACTACTAGCCTGGCATATACCACAGGTCTTTAGTCCCAGTACTGGGGAGGCAAAGACATGAGGATCCCTTCAGGGCCAGTCAAGGCTACATCGTGAGATGAGAGAGAGAGAGAGAGAGAGAGAGAGAGAGAGAGAGAGAGAGAGAGAGAGAGAGGAGAGAGAGGAGAGAGAGAGAGAGAGAACTATTAATTCAAAGTAGGGAGACCCAGGGTCTGTCACTTTTTTTTTAATGTGAGAAGTACAGAAAAACTTGGAAGTCCAGTTTTATTCTTTAAGGAGTTTGAAAATGTATATATAATAGGAAAAATATAACATTAAAAGGAATTCTTAAAAGTATAGACATCTCAAATCATACTACCTCACAAAGCTTTATATCATTTTTCAGGTCATGTTTACATGAAAGCATAGCTGCCTGCAGAGTTGATGATCACAGTATGTTGATCTGTGTGCGTGCGTGTGTGTGTGTGTGTGTGTGTGTGTGTGTGTGTGTGTGTGTGTGCGCATGCATGTATGTGTGTAGGGGTGTATACCACATACATGGAGGTCAGAGGAGTAGTTTACCTATAGGTGTCTTCTTTTGCTCTCTGCCATAGTCTCTTGAGACAGGTCTTTTACTGGACCTGGAGCTTGAAGTTTTGACTAGGCTTGGCTGGCCATTGATCTCCTGGGATTCACGCATCTTCATCCCCCAACACTTGGGTTATAGGCATGCATGGCCATTTATAGCTTTTGTTAATTTGTGGGTGCTAGGGAGTCAAACTCCGGCCCTCAGGCTTTCACAGCAGACACTCTTGACCACTGAGCCATCTCCACTCACCCTATGTTAATCCTTTTGTAGTCTGCATTTTATTCAATTCCTTGACGTTTTCTGTACCATTGCCCAGTAAGGAGGATTTGTTCATCTTATTTCTCCTGGTGCTAGAAACTGACCCCAGTGCCTTGAGCATTCTAGATAAGCATTGAGCTGCAACCTCAGCCCTGCAGATTTGTTTTCAACAACTGAAGAGGAATTTGCCTTCAGCGTGTGCTATAATGTTCTAAGCTATTTTCTTGTGTATTTTGTTTTTGTGTTTTGGTTCTTACTATATTTGTTGCTAGAGACAAAGCTGCACTGAACATTTTGTATAATGAACCTTATTCTTTTTTTTTTTTTTTTTTTTTTTTTTGGTTTTTTTGAGATAGGGTTTCTCTGTGTAGCTTTGCACCTGTCCTGGAACTCACTTGGTAGCCCAGGCTGGCCTTGAACTCACGAAGATCCACCTGGCTCTGCCTCCCAAGTACTGGTATTAAAGGGATGCGCTACCACCGCCCGGCTGAACTTTATT